AACTCTGGCATTATGTGCTGGTGCTCCGTCATATTGAAAATATATCATTTGAGACATATTTAGTGGCAAATTGTCGTCCAAAGGCTCAATGTGCTGCCTTAATATATTGAGGTATTTCCCTGAGTTTAAGTTTTTATGGTAGATACTATATGCCAAAATTCTATTATCTAAAAGGGCACACCATACATTGAACCCCAATCTTCTTTGAACACTCAGAGACTTCATCGGTCCAGATTACATTTTGAACAAACAGCAGATTATTTAATTTTTTTAAATATCATCTACAAAATTCTAATCTTCGATTGACATCTCCGGCACGTAAATAATGAGTTAGCCCCGCTTTGTATGGTTTATACTTATTTTTCTTTCATATTCGGGAGCAGCGGCTTTTGGGTCAGACGTCTTGTTGCAATTTCTCTTGCAGGTCATTTTGGTATGTTTTTGTATGTGGTTTGGGAAAGGACCAAATATCTATTAAATTTTCTGCTGACCGGCTGAAGGTTCGTACGTGCGGTTGTCTTCTTTCTGGATATCTTGTGAAATAAAATTCCGCGGCTAACGTCGCATTCTTATCTGATAACATATAGCATTCCATCTACAAACTATATATATTTGTTATCAGAAGAAAATAACAAATTATTATTATAACTAATTAAAAAAATAAAGTTACGTCTAAAATCTCGAAAATAAAAGATGGGAAAAAAATTCTACTTACGCCACTGAATTCTTCGTAAAAAGTAGCCCATATAATGTTTTATTTATAATACTTCATCTTTGATAATAAGTGAGATATTTGCGAATGTCGTTTTCGCAAAGTTTTCAGTTTTTGCCGATAGGGCGAAAACAAAAGACGATAGCTGTTCGGAGTTTTCGGCATTAGCATTTTCTCGAAAAACGAGATCATGACATGTAAGCTACTTTTTTTCTATCTCTTTTAGTTTCGGAGATAGCCTATGCGGACATCGAAATTGGGACACCCTGTACATGAAACATTTTTTTCAGGTGAATACATTTTGTGTTTTGACAGTTTCTAATTGTCAATTCAAATTTCTATTTTCAAGTGTTACCAACTGCTACATACCTATTTTCCTACATTTTAAAAATTTGTTTTATTTTTAAACCTCATTCATTAAACTTGAGTTCATGCATTTCAAGCGTGTCTTACGCAACTTGTTTTTTAATATACTATTATATTTATTTGGTTTAATATACAAAAAAAATTATTTTGACGGATTTTTAGGTAATTAAAGTATCATTTATCCAAATTCGTTCCTGTATTATGTATAAAATGGTAACACCCACGCAGTTACATGGTGCAACCTTAGCTCATAGCACACTGAAAGCATAATCAAAATAAAACATCATTCACGCCCCATGTTTATAGTCGGCTTGACGGACATGTGACTTCTCACTTCAGGCCGAACATAAAACAGGCATTAGTTGATTGTTAATGTTGTGGCCGAACCACTTCGTTTGCTTAGTCTAATTATATTTTTATACTACGGGTCGGTGTCAATAAAACTAAATTTAACACCACTAAAGAAGACACTTACCTTTTTTTGTTTCATCTTCTTGTTTCTTACCTTTATTCTTTGTCCTTCTTTTATATTAAAAGGTTAAAATAAAACGAAATTAAATTTTAATACAACATTTTATTGGTACACAAATGTTAATAATAATATTGACAAAAAAATTAATAAATAAAAATTGGTTATTCAAAAATATTTTTATAGACATTTTTCAACATACAGTTTCGATCAACAAAACTATGTACAACGAGGACATTATCTTACTAGGTACTAGAAGATCATTACTTTTTAAAATATCACACGCAAGTGCTTACGTTCTTATCGGATCTACAAGTCTGACATTGAACTTCACAACAATAAACGAATTCGCAATTACACGAACGCTCCTCCGTTTCCTTCCTTGTGGTGTGGCCCCGATTGCAACATAAAATGTCGCAACCTTCTTCACCTTGCGAGGTCGGATTGCATTCCCTTCCACCCGTGCCAAAAGATCCGATGGTACGATTCAGTTTGCAATAATTCGGAGTATCTTCGGAGTATACCAGATCTTCTTCGCCTGGCGATTTAATCGTTTCACCTTCCGGGATGAAACTGTGGCCATCATTACCGGCTATTACTTTCGCAGCACCATCAAAGTGCTCTTTTAAACGATTACCAACTTCACGAAATAAAGGCATTTTTCTCCAACAAGTTTTAACGTTACAAGAACCCGATAAACCATGACATTTACATTCGGTTGTCATGTGATTTTTTATGGCCTAAGACATCAAGAAAAAAGACGAAGTAAAAACGGATTTGGTAATAAAATTAATTACTTACCAATCTCCCTGCCTTATAATTGTGAAGTTTTAACAAAGTTTTCATATCGCTTTTCTTTTTGTATCGCGTATCCATAAAATCTTTAGATTTTCTAAATCCATAATTAATGTTATCGCCGCACCCGCCCCATTTCCACTCTCCGTCTGGTAACTTGACTCCTTTCATTTTATTTTTTTTACTGTTTTTGTTGTACTTTCTATCGCAAAAACAGTTTTTTAAATCACCTTTCGTACACGCCTTGGTAATTTCATAGGTAACTGCAGCTGCCGTTATTGCATTAACGAACCCCGTTTCACGAGTATCTGAAAAGAAGAGAAACATATTACTGAAATATTGAAAAATTATTCGATAAAAAATGGATGTCGGAGAACTCGATCAAAAAAAACTGTGTAACAAGCAAGCTGACCTCGATTGGAAGTAAGTCATATCTCACGCGTTGCCAACAAAAAACCTTTAGCTGTCGTAGCCAATGCTAGTCATCTCCTTTCGAGGAAAACGCGCGAATCCATGTTTCTATGGTAATGTCGAGCAGTAACCACGAAACGAGGAGATGAGAAAAGAGGTCGGCGAATAATTGCTAGCCAAGATCGCGACTTGGTTGGATCCTAGCGATCTCCATTATCCCCCCGGTGATCGAACAGTGAAGACTATCGAAGATCGCGAGGACGAGCAGCACACCGCGAAGACAGGGGGACAATGGACTTTCAGATTTATGGACGGTAGCCGCATACCTGTATCGGACCGTTTTCCAAATCTGTACGAACGACTAAAGTAAAAAAAACATATTGGTTTTTATCAAGTTTCAAAAGCAAACTTTTTTTGTTAAGCATCATCAGAATTTATCTCAATCTATCTACACAATAAATTATTTGGCAACTTTTTATTTACATCTAATCTGTATTTTTCTTTTTCTTTCGGAAACATTTAAAATCGTTCAATCCATTAGTTAGATCCATTAAGAAGATCTACTATCGACATTGTTTTGATTGTAGTAGTGTGTGAATCTGATTCTTAAACAAACGCCGTCGTTAATCTTTCAAGATCTGACCGTGAAAGAATGTAGCAATTAACGTAGATTAATTAACTACTCAATTAACAAGTTAACGTTATTATAATATTTGAAGTAGTTGTGATAAGTTTGAATTTTTATTGAAATTAAAACGTCGAAGGCATTTGACAAGTATCATCTAAAAGTGGCCATAATAATCGAAGACGTAACCACCATGCGTACCGGCAATAAAATTAGAGGTGTAAATTAATAGACGACTGTGAGAACAGATGCGGACCGAGATAACTGGCACAGGTAGCGGCGGTCAATGCATAACTCGGGGAGTTCTGTCAGTGGGCTTTTAAATCTTTTAACTTTAACTGTTACCACTTTAGATAAGCGAACGGTTCGAACCATGTGGGAGTCCTCCTCAATCCAACCCCATTTATTCCCTCCTAGTAACTCGGAATTTTTATGTTGTCGCCGCAGCGACGGATGAAAAAAGACCATCAAACTTATCTCGCGAACTTTTACGACACGTTAAGAGGTGCATAAAGACCATAACGGCTTAACTACAGAAAATGAACATGCGAACATCCCCCGAACAATTCCCTTTTCGTTGCAACATTCATCCATTTATGCAGTTTTTCCTTCCATACATCAATTGAGATTCTAGATTTCTTGTAAGTATACACATTAACAATGTCAACAATACATTCGTTTATCTGACAGTAATCCTTATTTGTAAGTATGGGTGTGGATATGGAATAGCCATAAATAGGAAGTAGAAATAGTTTTGATGATTTTATCTTCTTTGACATAAATGATTATGTAGTAGTGTTACATAAAATATAACATTATGTAACAGTTTTAATTTTAACCTTATTAATCAAGAAACTTCTTTATGTATATCATTGTATATGATTGTGTCCATATATTGATAAGTATTAAAATGAGTCTAGTCCGGATTCGGGCCCTGCTCTTCTTCAGTAGATAGAACCCTACAAAAGTACAAAAATCTTTTTATAGGTACATGTTAAGGTAAATAAAATAGAACAAACCAAATTAAATAAATAACACAAATATGAGAACTTACGTCAAGTTAAACTCGTAAAACATTTTAGTATTGGCGGAAAATTAAGTTGTAAACAAGTTTTGAGATTGAGGTTAAGCATGTTCGTAATGTGGGTAAAGTAGAAAACTAAATCAACTCGAATTTGAAATCAACATTTCATCCGACTCAAAATCAGACAAATCAATTATGTATTACAAACAGCGAAATATGAATTAGTAGGATTAAGTTTCCCCTTGAAAGTAAAAATTAACACATTAAGTTAACGTACAAAATATGAATGTTGATTTCAAATTCGAATTGATTTAGTTTTCTACTTTACCAACCTTACAAACACGCTTAACCTCAATCTCAAAACTTGTTTATGACTTGTTTACAACAAATTTTCGTTAAGATTTAATATCATTCTCAATGTATGTTTTACGAGTTTAACTTGACGTAAGTTCTCTCATATTTGTGTTATTTATTTAATTTGGTTTGTTCTATTTTATTTACCTTAACATGTACCTATAAAAAGATTTTGTACGTTTGTAGGGTTCTATCTACTCAAGAAGGGCAGGGCCCGAAACCGTTTTAGACGAAAAATAAAGTTTTATCACCAAAGTATTGATTATAAGTCATGAGTCATGATTGATGTACTTTTAAATTAAGAAAGTCTCCAACAAGGATATCTGCATAATTGTTTCGAGCTGCTCAACAAAATCATAATTGTCAACACCGAATCGGATAAGCACCTCATAGCCAATTTTTACATAAAAATGTTTGAAGAAGTATTAAAAAACCAAAACTACGATTTCGTAACGAAAATGACAACTTTGTGATCTAACAGCATGGAAAAGAACGTCTCCAGAGGTTTTTAGAGCACCTGAACAGTTACCTTTTTTGGATGTCTTGGTCACTAGGAAGATACAATTAGAAACATTCGGATTTAGCCGCCTTGAAAGACGCATGGGTAAACACGATTTTTTTAGTTCTAGGTCTAGTGTTAAATGTAGTTGTTATTCAGCTAGATTATTGTACATTTTTATTGTACGCTTCTGAATCCGCACATATCTGAGCTTATGATGCAAATGGATTAATATAACAAATTCTTAATAATTATTTTATTCCGTATAACTTTTACAAAAACATGTTTGAGTTATTCTCAATGATAATAAAAACATCTCCTGTACGCTATTCCCCAGACGGATTTCACACAACGTTAAGTCTCGTAAAGAACTCACGATGGCAGACGTCGATAAACCCCCGTCCTCTCGATACAATATCGATCGATATCTTACGGAGGTGACGAGCGGACGACAATTACCCGTGGCCGGGTATATATCTCCTCCGAGCGATCTGATTGAGACCGTTCTGGCAAGATATTCTTGCCGGATAGCGGTCAATTGATGGGCGAGCCAACTCGATACATACATCAGCTGGCTCGCAGTAAATCCGCGAGATTGCTAATTTAGATAGCGCGGCATTCAACCGGTGGGCCTCGTATTTGTACTAATAATAACGAGAGAGATGGCGACCCGTGTTGTATTTCACGTGCCCACTGGCCGTGAGTAAAAAAAGCTCATGAGGATATTCTTTTGAGTCCTGTGACCGCCTGCGAAGTGTGACTTATTAAATCCATATTACGGTACTCCTCGTGTGATATTTAAAACCTAACACGTTACAGATATTAATATGCTTCAAATAATTCTTGTAGCTTACCTCTTAATAAAACTTTTCTCATACTCCTCCTCGCGGACGTACAATTCCACTTTCTAAATCTGAACTGATATTGACATTCGCTTTCGCCGAGTGCAACCCCATGGGATATGAACTCGAGCAGTTTGGTTTTGCCGTTGCAGATTTTATCCATTTTATCGTTAAACTTGCGGGACTTCTTGCAGATCTGTTTCGGGTCCAATACCACGTTGCTACCTGCAGCCCTGCAACAACCAAGACGCCCACGCTTTAGCCAACGAGTTCGATACGAGGTGTTCGGATTGGAGGACGGGTTCCAATCGCGGGTTCTGGCTACGAGGTTCCTCGGGACCCCCTTTTTACTTTGCTCGCCGACGACGGGGTCACGAACTGTCCGAACGGCCAATAAGTAAACAAGACGCGTTATCGATAGAGCACGAGCTGCTTGGAGCGAGGTGCGAGAAATCGATACTCGATTGGACCAACCCAATCGAGGACCACCCAACAAGACCAACAACACAACTATTGGTTTGTTCATTTGGCAGCGATACAGATGAGATGGCAATTCTCATTAAAATTCTTTTTTTTTATATTTTCCTAAAATGTCATTTATTACACAACGATTTATTTACATTTGCATTGATATAGTAGAGGTAACTTTGAAACTAAGTAATTTATTGATGATTTATACACGAACGTTGAGTAAATAAATCATTCTCTAACATCGATAAATAGACGACTGACATGAGAAACTATTTGCATATTGTGTTTGTGGGGAGGTTCTTGTTCATCCGTCTTGAAACCTAACCGTGTAAATCTAATGAATAAATAAATTTGAAACAGTTAAGGCGGGAATTGATAGATACAGCGAGTTAATTTTTGGAACATTTTTCTGAAATTTGATTTAACGCGTGTAAGGAAGGACAGTTATTAATCGTTAATGTTTAGGCTGTTTCTCTTGAAGTATGTTAATATTTAAGAGATGTTTAATGGTTATACTGACAAAGCTCTTTCGTCCACGGCACAATTTGTAATATTAGCGCCCAAAATTATTTTGTGTATTTTTCTGAAAATTTGTTAGACACAGTTTGTTTTGTTTGGAAATGTTCACCTCCGCATTATTTCAATCGCGTTGAGTGATCTCCTATCGATATAGTTTGCAAGAGCGATGAGGTTACTTTAATATATTCTTGTATAGATCCAAGCGTTTATGAATTGCATTAACGAAATGAGGCGTGTTTACATGTCTTGCACCTATCACAACGTTCGAACCGTTAATTATAGCACAAAGGATATAGTTAATGGAAAAGTAAATAATTTTTGAAGCACATAATTTAAAATGTTAATAATCTTTTTACCACACTATAAATGTCAGGACGAGTTCAAAGTGATCTTCAAAAATTTTCTTAACCGGAGACGAAATGTTTATTTACATTTTAAACGAGTCCCCTCCACTAAAATTTATGTCTTTTAAAATTTGTTGTACGCCCCCAACGACGTTAAGAATGGTTTTATAATTAAATTTGGACCTCTTTTCTTGGGCATAAATGTGTTTAAATAAATATTTGTGCCAAAATGATCCACCTTCGATTTTCTATTATAGATGGTTACGATACTGAAAGTGATACGTTTTCCACACTTCAAAGGATGTTTAAAAAATCATATTCACGCCCCTTACTATAATAGATTAACTGGTTGTTTGGTATTTACTATTTCCTGTATAGGTATACAGATATCCAGAGGTAACAGATGATAGATATAGATTTGTTTTCGTTTAAGAACATGTGAGTGCTTCTTGAATGGCTTTTCAGAAATGATTGCGCATAGATGACGTGTTCTTATTTTCGTGTCGGCGTAGATTGCTCGCGGTTTGTATAATTTTCTAAAAATGGCGGTGTTTATTTGCGAATTCACTACAGATGTATATCAAAGTTTTTTTGAGTCTATTAAAATAAATAAGTTAGGATACCATCCGAAGTACCTAGAAGTAGTAATAAATAATGTTCGGGATAAAAGTGAGTAATTTTATCAATTTCATCTACCTGGAATTATTACAGCAATTTTATCGGTGTCTATCCCCGGGGCAATTAAGTCATCTTAAATAATCGCTTTAACAAGCCATATTATTATGACACGCAACGGAAATTATTGCCGGTATTACGATTAATAGTCACGAAAGAGCAATTAGTAATAAAGCAACAAGTTTTCTAAGGTCACGTACACACCGTATTCGGAATACGGTAGACGTCGTAAACTACTGATAACAACACACATGGAAACTAATTTAATTCGTTTACTATCACTAAGATGTTGAAGTAAATTATGAGACGCCGATTTAATGAGAGGCGAGAAACCGAGAGAGCTGAAATATAGGTGCGCATCTGAGTACGGTGCCAAGTGACCCACCTTTTACATCATTGGGATATCCGTATGCTAATTTTATTGATTTGTAATTTTAGAAATGCTTCGAAACCGTACCGAAATTTTCCAACAAATTTAAAATCTTACATCCATCTTTTTATTGAGTTTACTAAGTTATAACAGATAAATTTAACAAGATAAACAACTTCAAGTTTAACACTTAATTAGTAGCGTTAAGTAATGTTGTAATAACTCATTTATCGATCAACATAGAAAACGCATCGATGTAATAAATTTTACCAAACTTAATTGAACAGCTCGAGTACGAGAGTATTAAAAATTGCTGTAATTACACACAAGAAGAAGTCGTCTATCAAGAAAACTGATTTACGCTAATTTACAAATATAAATTAGGAAATTATCAATAAGAATTAACTGAAGATTGCAAAAGAAGTAATAAAAATAGAACTAATATTTTCAATAAACATTTGGTTGCAGTTATATAGCCCAAATACTAAAAAAATTACTTGAAGAAGGAAGAATGTATATCTTGTGCTCGAAATAGAGTGGTAGAAAGAAATTTGTCCAAATAAAAGTGATGTCTCTAGAGTAAAGTGACTAAAGTAACTAATTTTCCCTGTTATTATCTTATGCAAATAGTATCTATTCTGGGATTAGCAGAATTTCGTCTTCTGTCAGCAGAATCTAGTCTTTTGCAAGTAGTTTCTTTTCTTTTGCCTGCAGCATCTAGTCTTTTCCAACTAGCTTCTAGTACTTATAATACTGAATAGCAGTGTTTAGTCAGATAGTATTTAATATTCTGCATTTATATTTAGTTCTTTTGCAATTAGTGTCTAGTCTTTTTCCAGCATTATCTAACACATTTCCCACTCGAGACATCAAATAACCCTTACTTTATATGAGTCAAGTAATTCCCGGTTAAACCAACATAGTGAAGTATAGCACGTCATGATTGGCAATATTGAAAGCCTTTATGGATTAGATTTAAAGTCAGATACATGGAGGTTATAATGTCATAATTATGTGTAGCACCAAATTAAGTTAGATTTAAATACTTTCTTGATGTAAAATTTGTGTAATAAAAAAAAAACAGGAAATGAAATCGAAAATTTCAATTTGGTATTTTTAGAATCGACACTACGAAAAAAATACGATGTTAAAGTTTTATTTTTGATCGGGAGTGTTTACGTCGTGTTTGGCACTGACAAAGTAAGGCACTTAATAAGGTCGCGGTGATGTACGGGTTGGGCAGGAAAAAAGATTAGAAAATCCAACGAATCTGCTATAACTGTAACGCAATCGTTTACGTTTTTAACTCTAGATGGCAGATCTATGGTCATGGTTTGTGATGACACTTTCAACGGGGTCGAATAAAACATGCAATCGTATGCAGTCAAGGAAAATAATGTGTTAACAACAAAATCTATTTCTTTAATTAATTTAATCAGCATTCTTGTGATGTAATTTTTTTCTCTTTCATCATTGAACACATAAAAGAAGTTTTCAAACTAGTCTTGAACATAAGCTCGCGTTCTTCGCCACTAAGTGACTTATAACTGATTTTCACTTGAAAAAACGATCGACCTGGCAATCCGCGGCGGAATAAAGCAACATTGCGCGGACATTCGTGCCCTTATACGTGCCACAAGAAGAGAGTCCGCGATTGACGATCGAGCAGGGATCTCTTCCTAAAATAGCCATACAAACGGCGCCATTTCGGTTTTTGCCATTTCGCCATATAGAACTTAACTGGGCCAAGTAACCACTGTTTGCGAGCGACCATGGAACGACAACAGCAGCACCCAACGATAAACAACAGCTAAGCCTTGTCAAGAAGTAAGTAAGGAATAAAAAAACGTTTCGAACAGGAAGTAAAAACCGGAGGACTTTCAAGTAGGATGTGAGAAAAACAAGAAGGTTGAGACTTGGAAATCGGAAATCTTAAACGAAGTGTTTAAATTACTTATAAGGAAAAAGTTAATGTAAATAATTCGATTTGTGATAATGAATTCTGTCGATACGATCGTTAATTCTTGGACGAAATCTTGCGTTCAAACTACGGTCGTCTGCTTACAGATTTACGCGCAACCATCGCTAATTTTTTACCTTTCGTTGACACCGTACATAAATCTTTCGCTAAAACCATTACGCCCGAATTGTTTAGTTCTATTTTCAACTAAAATATTCGCTAAACAGTACATTAGCGAGGTGTGAGTGTGTCACACGTGACGAAGCACATGTTGCGAGAACACTTTTTCATTTTTAACCAATTTGAAACGTTTGCTTTACTAAAAACTTGAGTATTTTATGTTGCATTGTGAAAAGTTTACGTTGTAAAAGAAAAATTAAACAACTTCTAGGAAAGAAATATTTTACGTGTGTCAAGTACATCAGGACAGTAATAAAGGCATCGCGACCGAGTTTAAATTACGCAATGTTGTCCCGCATTTCTGCTGTATTTTCACACAGTTAAGCGACGTTTTGAACAGTTACGGCCATTGTGTTGGCCTATAAACGTGGTCGAGTATACTACATCATTCTTTGCTGTGACGACGCAAAATAATCACGAAACACGTCGTAAAAGAAAAAAACTACGGTTACACAATTATATTGATAGTCAATAAGTTTGGAATAGATAGGGTTGAACCCTTAAGTTATTTAGTGAACCGCAAAGCGTGTAATGTTTCAGTGTTAAAAGGATTATTCATAAATTTAGGACGACAGAGGTGGATTAGAACTTTAATTATTTTGTAAAATAAACAATCTAATATATTTTAATAAAATTTAATTAACTCAACCGGTTTCGGCCTAAACCATAGTCAGGAGTCTGCAAGGTTTCAAATAATCATAAAAAATACCATTA